TGGTCCCATGCCTGGAAAGGCCACATGTGCCGACCAACCCCTTGAGTTAAGAGGGATGGTGTGGAGGGAAACAAGTAACAAACAAGTGACTTGTGTTACATGCCATAAGCCTGGCTTTCTCTCCCAAGCCAGGCTGGCACATGGAAACCAATGACCACCTGATGTTTGTGACAAACATGTCCTGAGACCTTCCAGAATCCTAAAATTGAGGGCCATGATAGCACACACGTCACCAGCACCTGATTTTGTTTCTGAGTCACTTTCCACAACAAAATGTTTTGTTTTAATTTACCCCTTCCAAAGACCATCTGGGCAGATGACAACAAGGAGGGAAGAACATGCCTCATGGGGATGGAGATGCTGGGCAGTGGGTGGGGGTCACAGCTGGGTCACCCGTCATCTTCGCAGGGCATGAAATTCGGTGTTGTTTTTTTTTTTTTTTGAAGTAAAATTACACATTATTCATTGTCATAAAACTGCTCTTAAAGAGTGACAACTCTAGGTATCCTTATATCATGACAACAAACACCTGTTGAGATCGGCATTTTGTTAGAGATTACAAATCATCTGCACAAAAGCCCATTATATGGTTTGATTTTGCAGCGATGAGGATAAGTGCTTTTGCTCCCAGGGAGACCGGGGGAGGAGAGCAGTGTTCAACTGATAACTGAGCTATGGAACCTGAGGCTTCTGCAAGACAGGTACAAAGGACAGGAAGAAGGTTCTAGAGATGGACAACTGCAAGAAGCATGGACCCAACAGTGACCCCTGGGAGGACAGCTATTTGTGACTATCCAGGAGAAGGCTGGGAGAGTCAGATCAACGTCACAAAGTCATGAAGGGAAGCATGAACATGCTCATCTGATCTCAGAACACCGGAACCAACGAACAGATCGAGGATGTCCGAAAGTATATTTAGATGGTATAAAATGAAATACTACATCGGGGCGCCTGGGTGGCTCAGGCAGTTAAGCGTCTGCCTTCGGCTCAGGTCATGATCCCGGGGTCCTGGGACTGAGTCCTGAGTTGGGCTCCTTGCTCAGCGGGGAGTCTGCTTCTCCCTCTGCCTCTACCTCTCCCCCCTGCTCATGCTCTGTCTCTGTCTCTCTCTCTCTCTCAAATAAATAAAATCTTAAAAAAAATGAAATACTACATAGACCTTATGGAGCTCTGAAGAGGCAGAACATTCAGGGTGAAGGTACGAGTAAGTTCAAGCCAGATCCTTAGATATTATAAAGGGAAAAAAAGGATGGTTGCAATTCGTCTCCAACCTTGCATCTACCTGAAGCACAATACTTATTCATTGTTGACGGACGCACTCCTAGCTCTTGCATTTACAGTGATGGCGGTGGCTGGTCTAACCACCTGCACCTGACGGACTGTAAGTGCACTGCCATTTTCCCTTGACAATCCCAGCACGCTCTGACACCTCGGTCTGGACCACAAGTTTGACTGATGCGTGACTGTCATGTTCTATCTGCTACTCTAATAAGGCACTGCTTTCCATCCAGGTGTCAGGGCTCCTTCAAGCTCTACAGACGAATGAGGATCCGATTTTGTTTACGGCATAACTCAGAACCCCAGAACAAGGATCCTGCTACGAACTCGTGGGCAAATGATCATCCAGCACCTCCTTCAATGCCTCCCCCACAGGAGGTTCTCTCTCTCGCAAGCCCTCCTGTTCTGGGGTTCCTCAGTGCTAGCTGAGGTCACAGCAAGGACCAAGGCCAACTCCATCCTCACTCTCAGGAAACTGACCCCGGGATACTAACACCATGATGTCCAAGAGAAGAACGAAGGGCAGCAGCTTGGTGCCCTTTGCAATTTCCAGTTGACAAGGGCCATGCCCCAGTTTCCTTTATATTTCCAGTTACACCTCCAGTCCCCAGCATTATTGTCCATCGGATCCACAAGAGCATCAAGGAGACAAACTGGGTTGAAATCAAGCAACTGCTGCTAAATGTCCACAAAACATGCCCACTCCTCCTCTAAAGTCAAATCCTTCATCATGGCATTCGAGGCTTTCGACAGTTTCCCTTCAACCCACCTCTGGCCTGATCTTTGATTACCTCCCTCCACAAATCCTACGCCCCGGCCATGCTGGGCTATTGGCTAGTTCTTGAACATACTGTGCCTCTCAGGTGCCTCTGTGAACTCTGCCTCCCATGTCACAATGACCTCCTTTCCCCTCCATGACCTTCAAAATGTGACTCATCTTTAACTTTTAAATACACCCTCCTTTATGATGTTTTTTTCTGAGTCTTTCAAAAGGATTCGGTCTCCTGATGTTTGTATTTCTTGAGAACCATGTTTATACATCTTCATACGAAGCATTTTCTGTAGCTTGTAATTGTCGACGACCCCTACAGCTGATGAGGTAACACTGCTTATAAATTATATCAAGGCTGGCGGAGCACCTTGCACAGGGTGGGCCCTCAAAATAGAAGTGCCATCCGGCCTTACAAAGGAAGGAAATCTGATCACAGCTACAGCATGGACGGACCCTGAGGGCATCATGCAAAGTGAAGCAAGCCTCTGATAAAAAGACAAGTAACTATACGATTCCACATATCTGAGATGCCTCAAATCCTTGCAACAAGAAGGCAAGTGGTGGTTATCAGGGGTGAAGCAGAGAGGAAAGGAAAAGGAGTCATTTAATAGCTACAGAGCTTCGATTTTGCAAGATGAAAAAATTCTGGAAATCTGTTGCTTAACAGACAACTTGAATCTAGTTAACATTACTGAATTGCACACTTAAACTATTAAGAAGGTAAATTTTTTGTTTTTACCACCATAAAAAAAAAAAAGTGCCAAGTGAATTCCATCTCCAACCTAACAAAGTGCCACAAAAAAAAGGTATTTTGTTGTCATCTTCATGCTGGTCCCAGAGGTGAGAGGAGAGAGCACCCTTTAAAAATGTTTTAAGAGAAAGTCCTCCCATGCACCAAGAAAGGATTTCTGCATCTTAAGAAAGGGAAATCAAGACTGGAAAAATACAGAAAATTGAGGATGAAGAGTAAATTTGGGTATATTTCCAATTCCTTCAAGGTATCAGTTACCCAGAGACTATGAACCTTAAACCTCTTTCTGAGGCTTCTGGGTTGTAGTTCACGTTTTCCATTTAAAGGCAGAGATGAGGTCCAAGGTCACCGTGGTCCAGTTACCAGTTTTCTTGCATTTTCTGAGTAGAATGCAAGGACAGAGGCAAAAGTAGATGATTTTGTAGGATTGGAGAGGAGGCTGCAGGAGGAGAAGAAGGAAGGTGGGGTAGGATACTGGAGAGAAATGGGGACACACAGTAAGAGAGCCAGAGAGGAACAAGATCACAGATCAGAATGGGACTACAGAAGAGTCTGCCGTGGACAGTGTCCACAAAACTCAAGAGACTGTCTAAAAAGGAATGTCGGTTTTGGTGTGACGAGCTCTGGACAGAATATTCTCATTAGACATGTGACGTTGAGAAGTACCACAGGGCACGGATGCCATTTGCCAGGTAAGTCTGCAGTTGTAAAAACCTTTGGAATGTTGAAACTAGCTATCGACTGACCCAAGTTCCTTGTATTTCGGGGTCTAAAGACAAAGGAACCCTGGGCAGGTTCACATTAGCAGAAGGACTTATTTTTAAAGGATCAGCAACACTTCCTTTTCTTTTCATCCTTCCTTTTAAAGGTTTATTTATTTTGGAGAGAGAAAGAGAGAGGGAGAACAAGCAGGAGAGGGGCAAAGGGAGAGGGAGAGACAGCATTTCAGGCAGGCTCCACACTGACTCGGGACTCAATTTCCCAACTCTAAGATCATGACCTGAGCCCGAGTCAAGCACTGGACGCTTAACCGACTGAGCCACCCAGACGCCCCAACACTTCCTTTTCTTTGCTGAACTGCTAGTCTCTAACTGTGGTCAAATGCTTCCCACGTGATTTGCCCTGTTCTTGATTCTTACAGACTGTCTATTTCCAGGATGTTCTTCCAAACCCAGCCCAACTGCATTCAAGTCCTCCTCCTCATAATCAAGTGCCTTGAGATCACTTACTTTTGAAAGACTGGATACACTTTTGTCTTTGAGTTGCGCAAACAAAGAAGCCAATTTCCTTTTTTAAAATTTAACCAATCCATCAATTTATGTATTTATTTTTGAGAGAGAGAGGGGGAGAGAAAGAGTGCAAGCAGTTGTGGGGGGCTGTTGAAGGACCAGAGGGAGAGTGAGAGAGAATCTTAAGCAGGCTCCACGCTCTGCACGGAGCCTAACAACGGGGCTTGATCTCACGACCCTAAAGTCATGACCTGAGCTGAAACCAAGAGTTGGATGCTTGACCGACTAAGCCACCCAGGTGTCCTGAGAAGCCAATTTTCTAAAAAGAGACTGAAACACACAAGGCCAAAAAAATCCAAAGCAAGCTCATGATTCCACTGTTTTAAATTTTAAGAACAGATATCTTAGTGAGGATGGTAGAAACTAATGGTTATGAGTAAGAACTCTGGAGTAAAACAAAGTGGGTCCATCTCTGCACTTACACTCTGTAACCACGGACCGAGTTATTTAACTCATCAAAGAATTTCCTTTTCCTCCTCTAGGAAAGAGAGAATAACGATAATAGCATGGACTTCATAGGACTAAACGATATGCCGTAAAGTTCTCAAAAAACGGCAGCTGCCGTTGTTATTACCCAAGTGTGAACAGCAGACTGTGAAGCCCAGCTCTCATGGGAGCTGATTATCCTTCATTCAAACGGCACCTATGGGGCCCCTAATCACAGGTACCGTACGCAGAGCCATGGATTATTCATGCAGCGTGTCATATCGGACTCCTAGAGCCGGGATGGCTGGAGAGATGACTGATGAAGACTTAGAAAGACAGGAGAGAGTGGTTTCTCCCCCACCCCCCGCCCCGCTTCAATCAACCCTTTTCCTCTGGGGTCCACCATCATCCCAAGAAAGAGGCGTTTTGAGAATCATTCACCTCAACCACCTGCATTATGCACCGTACTTCCAGATCGGAAGGAATGGAATTTGATGCTCCTCTATCACATGCAGTCGGAGACCAGGATGATGACAAGGGTAGACGAAAGATCGTCTGGGAGAGCAAGTAGGCTTCTCTCTACTTGCTGGCGAACAGAGCAAATTCGTGAGACAGTCTCCAAGTTCCTAATGGTTTTCCTGATAAAGGGGAAGCGCGTGCTGAAGCGGAGGTATTTCTGCTTGTCTTTGCCTGATCGTATCCTTGGAAGTGACCCCAGGTCAGGCTCACGCTTCCTCTAGGATCCTACCGGACCATTAACTACTGTCACTCTCTATTAATCCTGCCTGGTGTCTTTCAAACTGTCCTGTGTTCCCTTTCAAAAATGTCAACAGGACAGCCGACAGGGAGAGAGAGCATGCTACAACTTAGAAGTCTCAATTTAGAATTCTAGAATTCTTAGTTTATTAATTTCTTCTGACAGAGCCCAGATGTCTCCAGAGTAATTAGTAACAGAACAGGGTTAATGTAGCTGCCTCATGGTGATGCAGATTCATTATGACTGATTGTTCACTTACAAAAATTAAGCACGTCTAATTGAGTGTAAACCCAAAAGGACAGCACCAGGCTGACAGCCCACAGATAGCTCCACCTATCTTGTTTTCCTCCTATTTCAGAGGCTACCAGATACTACAGCATGGCAAGGATGATTAGCTTTTATGTATTTTTATCTTTCTGATCCGAGTTATCTAGAGGTGAGGTTTATAGAGAGTAGGTAAGTCCACTCTCCTTGGAAACGGACAGGGGAAGCCAGAGATTGGGCTAATTCAGAGAGCCTCAGGCTCTCATGTATCAAGAGTCCTGCGGATGGCTGCCCAAGTTCATGGCTCATAGCTGAAGCTGGGAATGAAGTGTGCCTTCATCAATGAGATAACTAGATAAATTAGGGGATGTTGTTGGCTAAGAAATTCTGTCGATTCTTCTTTTAAAATGTCTTTTCTATTGTTCTGTTCTCTCTCCTCCTGCTGGGATCGGCCAGATGCTCGTGAGCTCATATTTCAGATACAGGAGAAGCTCCCCCCATAGTCTCCCTGGTTCAAATTATTCCATTTAATTCCACTAGTGATTCTGGAGAATGAGGCATAGGGCTAGCCTTTTTTAGGCCTTCCACCTTCTCTTTCTGTTCATTCCACACAGTGACCCAGGAAAATCTTTGAAAGGCTAGTTTTCATCACATTACTCCCCTGCTCAGAAACCTCCAAAGGTTCTCTGCTGCCACAGGAACAGAATCTAAATCCTCATATGCCTTACCTAGTGAACGCTTTCTCAATACATCCTGAGAGGGACCCTCTGCCCCAGCTCGGCCGCTGGTCATGGACCCAAAACAAGGCCATCTCTGGGCCTCTGAGCAGGGCCTTCTCTCCCGGAATGTTCTCCCCTCATTCTCTATAAATGCCCTTTATGCTTGAAGGGACAGCTCAGGCTTCAGCCCTTCCATGCCCTTTTATCGGATTGCATGGAAATCCAACTGATAGTCCAGAGAGTATTTTGGCACTGTATTCTGTGTACATATGCTATAGAAACATACAAAATATATACATGTAAAATTTATATATTAAACTATTATTTGCATCCACTTTGATACCTAGCACATGTCTGATGAATAAATATGAACTACATACAGGAGTTTATTTTGCAATATTTAATCTTCAGGGAAATTTGGCATCAAAGCCTTCAAAAGCCTACAGTTCTTCAAAGGTATATAATTGATTTCTGGAATTAGAATAAGCAACTCTAATTCTAGAACAAAATTAGGAGAAACACCTATGCTTATAAAGCAACGTATGCCGCTGAGGATGTTCGCTGTGGTGATTTTTACAACAGGAGATGGGAGAGTCCACCTACTCCACACCGGGCAGCTAACAAAAGCATGTTGGGGAGTATTTATGAACATGAGAATCAGTCCACAAGATAGCACTGTGTGCAAAAAGCTGCTGCTCAGAGACTGTGTAGAGCAGGCATTTGACTTTCATTAGACAGACAGATAAACAGACAGTGGTTATCTCTTAGAGGCAAGTTTAGGAGGGCATTTTCTCCTTTGTGCTTTTCTATGCATTTACATTTTGGGGCACCGGACCGAAGCGTTATTAACGTGTTGAACGGTTCTTTTAGACGGAAATGTGCTCTTTCGAACCACAAACATCTGGCTTGGATGGACACACACGTGGACAGAGTTGTTTGACTCAATCTTGTGTTTAAGTTGGACTCGAATGACACTCAGCACCACGTGGGAGCCACCCTCCTATCGCAGAGACAACATTCTCTGGGTAAGGAATTAGGAAGCATGGGGTCTAAGCGTGCCCCTGCTGCATAGTTCCTGCTAGGCCTGATAACAGCACTCATTTTTCTTAAACTTCAGCTTTTCTACTATAAAAGAGGCAAATATTCTGCCCTACCTCTATCCTCATCACGTCTCACAAAAATGTACAGAGATCAATTAGAAACTATTTGCAAAAATATCAAGTGCACTATAAAAAGGCAGCTGATCAGATGGAATTACTCTCAAGGTTAGAGAAACAAGCCCCTGAAATCTTCCCTCTTTAATTAAATTAAACCCCAACGTTAAATCAGAAAGTACTGTCTGATTCATGGGTGGTGAAGTACAACTTCATTAGATGACCAATTTAATAGCAGTAGGTATGGTGAGTTCACTAACACTTTCAGCATGAAAACATAAAAATCATTTTAGGACAAAACTTAACTCTTCTTTTAAAAGTATTTCCCACAATACTTTGCAGATGATCTCTACTGTTTTTTGTTTTGTTTTTTTTTTTTGTTTGTTTGTTTAGCAGAACAAACAGCACAGACATGAATTTTAATCGAGGAAATATGCCGGGCTTCAGATCAATAAAATAAAGACAAAAGCTTTAAAGCTTTGGCAAACTCATTACAAAGGGAACAAGGCACGACTCTTCATCTTTGCAAAGATTTTGACGTTGAATCTAATTCACCTCGATGGGCAAATAATCGTGAGTCAGTCACACAAATACCAATGTACATATTTACAGATACACATGACAGAGGCTCTTGGCGTACGGCTGGTAGGTGCATATTGAATGCTTCTTGACAAAAACACACAAACCCAGATCACGACTGCGTGTACCAAGACACACACGGAAACACCCAAACGTCCCACAGAGCAACCTCACCGGAGAGGTGCAGCAGGGCTCACTCAGATAAAATGAAAAAGAGAATAAGAGATTATCCCTTGAAGGGAAGGCAGGGCTGCACACCCCCGGAAGACATCTTGACTCACCTGTTAAGTGGTTGGCAATCCTGGCAGTGGGTTTGGGAGGCAGGGCGGGGGGTTGCTTGAGAAGGGACAGCTGCTTCACTGGGGTCTCCTCATGGTCTCCAGAGAAAGCAGCAGGTTTTTTGGGGGGCAGTAGCAGGACTGGTTTGGCTGAAGGATCTTGGGACAGGAGGACTCCAGACTCACTGGCAGAGGGACTCTCTTCAGACACTGAGGGGACAACCACACGACACACAGGAGACATTACACAAACGCAATGCAGGTGGGGCCGGCAGGAGCACACAGGACGGGGGTGTGGGTTAGCAACACAGCAGAGCACCGACTGTTCTAGGCCGTCGTGAACATGCGGAGAGTTAGCGAGAGGCTGCTAGAAATTCAATAAAGCAGGGGCGAGGGAGTGGAGGGACACATCAGGGAGGTTGAGGCAGTAGGGAGAGGTGGGAGGGGAGAAGGGGGGAAAAGGGAAGAAGACATTTTCTCCAAACTCTCCCAAGCTTCACCACTTCAACTTGGCATTTACACTACCCCTTCTGTGAGTGCTCTAAACGTGACTCTGGGGACCACGGCAACAATCCACGGATGGCTGGTGCAGTGGGTCAGGGACAAAGTGCCCCTTCTGAACCAAACCAGCACCAAATGCTGGCATCTTCCCTTGGGCGCATTTGCTCTCTGTTGAGAGGAAGACAGAGGAGATTCTGGGGCCTTGCTTTTGCCCACTGGGTCTCCCCGGGTCTGGGACATGAAGTAATGAAGCAGTCTAGAGGCTGACACCAGGCCGGGCATCCCCACATGCCCGGAGTGGCTGCTCGTCCAGGTTCTGGGGCCAGCCAAGCAGTTGTAGGGGCTCCTATAAACCTTGACCAGACAAAGGATGCACCAAGACAATGTCTTCCTGTCTCCCTGCTTCCTCTCTCCTCTCAGTCGCCGGAATGATGGTTTTCTGTTTGATTTCCCCCATTTCTCTTTGTCCGGCATTGGGTCTAGCTCTACCTTTCTGCCATGGGAGGCCCCGACTGGCTCCAGTTAAGAGCTGTCCTGGGGCGGGGCAGGGGGGCAGCCTGGCCAATAAGACTGAAACTCTGCGTTCACTGGGATGACAGATCTCCCTCCAACGGTCAAATCTGTGTGATTCCAATGTCACAAGAAAGGTTGGATGAGAAAAACAATTCACTGCTTTAAATTGAAAAAACCTGCTCAGCCTGGGGGGGGAATGTAACTCAGATGCATAGTGTCCTGCTTCTCATCGCTGCTGATTGGCATGACTCCAGTGACTCTCCCCTGACCTCTTCTTCCTCCCTAATCTGGGCTGCAGTGTCCCCTGTAGCACTAAGGCCCTCATGAGCACTCGGTTCTCCCCCTCTCCCAAGGGACACCGTTATCATCAGGTCCCAAAGTGGAGCATGGAACGGACTCTGTGACCCCAGCTCTCCCGTCTTCCCACCTGAGCCCTGCTCATGCAGACTTTGCATATGGTGTGGAAAAAGGATGTGGTCTTTCTCCCCACACTCTGGAGATTCCGGGAGTTCCCTCCCCTTCCACCCCCCTAGGCTCGCCTCTTGACAACAGGGACCATGCTTCACTGGCTGTTGGGAGGATCCCACCTTCTGTGGGAGTGACTACTGACCATTCAGAGGGCTTTGGACCAAAGAAGTAGTGATGGTCCAATGGTACCAAATATCACCTGTCAGCAGCATATGAGTTAGTCAGTAAATTGTATACAATTTAATAGCCAATTAACACATCGACTGTGTACAGTAAACGGATACATTTTGCTAAACTGATACAACCATTAGCTGGTATATGGAGACTGGGCTTAAAGGCCGTGCCAGGGTTTTACAAACGCGTGAATTAGATAGGTATCCTTTAGAAGAAGTGTAGGATTCCTTAGCTTGAGTTTAACAGAAAAGAGTGCTAGGGAAAAAAAACAAAAAAACAAAAATGTCATTTAAAATGACATTTTAAATCCCCAATAGTACAAAAACAGGGCCTTCTTCTTTAAAGACATTAAGATTACAAAAAATGTTTTTGAAAAACTACAGAACAGTAAGTGTAAATATGTACTGATTGGGCAGTTTCGTCCCCATTTCCAGGAGATTCTTAGGCTCGGGGTGGTGCAAAACAGAACTCCAAGTCCAGCCAGGCTACAGGTCTTGAGTGCCACACGCAAGTCGACCAGGGGCATTACCTGTCCCATCCATGATGTCTGAAGGCTGGAGCACCTCGTATGAGCAGGGATCCCTGGGCATGGGGACTGGCTCCATTTCGGACAGGGCTGGCAGAGACAGCTGGCTGGAACTCAGGGACTGTCCGTTTTCCAGCGAATCATCTTCATTCGATATGGAGAGCTCCCCATCTGTGGGAGCGAGAAGGGAGATGGCACAGTTAGACAATGCCCGCCTTCCAGGGAAGGGTGACAGTTATCGTCGGCTAATTGAATCTAAATGTTTTTGAACCATCTTTATCAAGGTCAGTCTGTAAAATCTACACTTGTTCTTTTGCTTTTCAGATACTTATTTTATTTTTAGACATATGGCATTGGACTACGAGGGTGGCAATTTTCAGTGACCTCTAGCAAATTGCCTGTTTCTTCTTTCTAACCATAACTACCATATTTTGTACGTATTTTTTTTTAAATGAAAGCGAATTAAAATTAACTTTTCTTCCTAATTTTGGAAAACCTGGAAAAACTGAGCAAGCCTCAAGGATTGGAAAACCAGGATTAAGAATGCGTACTTTAGGGAGCCAAGGGCTTCCTGCCACTCAGCAAACACCAGATGCATGGTTCTCTAAGGCTCTAGGAAAAATGCATCTTCTTTTCTCTCTACTCCCGCCAGCATCCAATTTCTCCAGGCAGATAGAAGTTTAGGAGCTCGAAGCTCCCCCAGGCTTCCCTTCTGACAACAGGGACCACTCCTCACTGGCTGCAAACCTTCTGAGGGAATGAGTACTGACCACTCACAGGGGGCTTCAGGCTGCAGCGTCCTAAGGATGTTGGAAGTAAGCGCCAGAATTCTCCCAAGTGTCCACCAGTGGTCACGCCCTTGGGGGGAGCCGACTTTGATCTTGCTTAAAGCTCCTCAAAGCAAGGGGCCAGCAGCTAGTTAACACCACAGGAGACGATCAAAGGCTGCCACACAATGGCCATTTGTCAAATCAAAATTCCCCCAGTGTGATTTCATCCTAGCTCAGGGGAGTCCTAAACAACAAGGCATTAAAGTCAATTAATTTTTAAAGAGGATGGAAAGCTGTTCCAGTAAGATGAATAAATATCCAGATGAAAGACTCCTACGTTACGCTTCGTCAGAAACAGAAACCAGCAAAGCAATCACCTGCCTTAAAACTGGAAGAAAGAGGATTTAGTTGTAGAAATGAAACAGTGACATGACTCCAAGGTGGATCTGGTATAAATAATCCTTTTCTTGTGCAATGCTCCTCCCAAGGCTTTAATTTTATACACAACAATATGTGGTAGTAAAGGGATGCTCCTCCAGGCCCCTCCCTCCCCAGTTAGAACTGGCCTGATGAAACGTTCAACAGAGTCGTCTACAAACCGACAGGCTTTAGACACCATATGGTTCAAGGACATAGGCTATTTCACCTGAATCTTGTATAAACACGGAAAAAAAACCAGAATAGATACCGTAAAAAACCATCGGAGGCAGACAACAGAAAGCACTGACAAACTTTAAGATTGTGGTTTTCTCCCCATTTCTTTTCCATTTGGCCTTTCTGTATGCCCGGAATGGCTCGGCAGTTAGTATGACTATAATTAACAGAATGATTACTGCTCCCTGTTGATAAGAGAAGACGCGCAGTGTGGACTCTAAGTACTCAGCCAAACCGAGAGTCTTTAGGAGGGAAGGGCCTCGGGGGTGCGTTCCTGCGTTGCCATCCTTTCGGGGATGGTCCCTGGTCCCCTTAACACACTTGAATTTAGCATGTTCGCACTGATGTTGTGGAAAGTAGCTCCGATTCATGTTCCCAGGTGGTGGAATAATGATGCCGCTGCCATTCAATTTAACACATCTCTAGGAAACCACTTTGATTTTTGATGTGCCCAGTGTAACAAAAGTCTCGGTCAAGACAACCCGAGGAGGGGGTGGGGGTTTCGGGGCAACGACAGAGTCAAATGACTGCTGTAGTTTTGGGCAGGTAAGAAGTACCCCAGAAGGGGCGCCTGGGTGGCTCAGTCGTTAAGCATCTGCCTTCGGCTCAGGTCATGGTTCCAGGGTCCTGGGATCGAGCCCCGCATCGGGCTCCCTGCTCAGCGGGAGTCTGCTTCTCCTTCTCCCACTGCCCCTGCTTGTGTTCCCTCTCTCACTATGTCTCTATCTGTCAAATAAATAAATAAAATCTTAAAAAAAAAAGAAGTACCCTAGAAGCAGTACTAGGGAAAAGATACAACTGTAGTTGGATTCCTTTAGACTCTATGAATCTCGGTTTCATCAAGGTGGCTGGCTTAGTGCTGGAGGCTTTGCTAATAATGGAGAAGCAGTCCTAGAGACATAGCGACTCTCAAAAAATTTAGCTCGCCATAGATTAAACGTACCTTTGCTAAGTCGCAAAGACCCAAACGGCTTTGGAGAGGAAAGAGTCTTG